TTCCTATTTTTAGAAATCGGAGCGAATTATACAAAAGCCACACACATATGGATGTATGTATGTTTGAATGCATATACAGTGCCGAACGAAAAGTTAAATACGTTTTATTCTCGTTGTCTATGTGTTAAATACGGGCACAATAGATTCTTTGTCCCTAAAAAGGATCCAATTAACTATATATTTGCTCAGGCGAATGACAAACAGAGAGACATTGGAGGGATCCCACTAAGGGCCGGTTACTCAATGTCTGGTTAACACTAACTACAGGTTACACATAATTACCGACTTTTTGGACTCTCTGCTACATATATGTTATGGAGGCGATCACGTCAATAACGATGTTTAACCTGTTAGTTAATGTTAACCCTTAGGGCCAGTTTCTCAATGTCTGGTTATTTCTACCTCCCAGTAAAACATTACTGTTATGCATATAACATGTGATCAATAAAGCAGTCGTTGCATTTAACCGGAGTTTCTATCTCCGATTTGTGCTAACCAGACACTGAACTAGCGGCCCTTAGTAGGTAACCTTCCTTCCTTTTTTCTGCCGTGAACATATTTTCACTATACACGAACAAAGGCATGAGCTCAAAATTTGACCGCGAAAAAAGTCGCATAAAAAACTTCAATTCTCGATAGGCAATAGGTTAGGAAATATTTATTTTTTTATAATTGTTTTTCGGAACGAAATGTACATATGAGTAACTTTAGGCTTAAAACTTTGCCATGTTTCTAAATTTTTATTCGGAAACTGTATATAGAAGGTATGCTATTAATATACCAGATTTCATATATTATTGTGGATTTATGGTGTATGTACACTGTTTTGTTGCTATGATATGTTTGCACTGGTAACACCTTCACTTAAATTTCTCATTGACTTCAAATTGACGTTCAATATACATACATATGTACATATGTGTTTTTTTGTTGGAAATTGACTAGCCACAAATAATCGATTTTATAGAAGCGGGAGGTAGGATACAAAAAAACTCTATTATTTGCATTCAGTAATCCTGCCACAAGTGTATACATACATAAGTATGTGTACATTAGTGTGCGCCTTATTTGTGTTCAGATAATTTTTTTGTAAGTTACAAAGCAAAACTCCCCATCTGCGAAAAATTTTGCAAACCCGAATAACGAAAGGACGTGCCTCAACCCAGAAGATAATTTAGGTAGGTCTTCTTAAGTAAAGCCATTCTAAGAGGCCTACCCAAGAAGGGCTGAAAAAGGGCTTCTCTGCATGCCTTCTAGAAGGGCTTGTACATTTACAATTTACGGGAATGCATTACAAATGAGTTTCAATAAACATTTTAAGTTGCACTAACACATATTTGGTATAAACATTAAGCAAATACTTCAAAGATGTATGATTTTTATAAATAAAAGAAGGAACTATAAAAGAACTCCTATAAAAGCCCTTTTGGAAAGCCTTCCATGGGTAGCGAAAGAAGAAGCCCTTCAATTTGTGCCACTCCATACAAAAAAAGGAGAAAGGAATGTAGAGTGGAAGGCCTCTTGACTCATGAAGGCCTTTCGGAAGGGCTTTTAACTCCTGAAATTATCTACTGGGAAGAGTCCTAAAGTTGCATACGCTAATTCACTAAATTTTTACATAAAATACGAAAAAGAGCCTATAATTCATTAAAAAGGGATTATTAACTTCGTATCAATCAACAGATTTTTGTGCGCTAATCTTTAATAGTATGACTACGCCATTTTCATATCTCGTCAGGTCGGAAGTTATAGAGCCTTTTTTTGCATACCTTTAGGCTCTTGAGGCACGTCTTTCCATTATCCGATTTTGAAATTTTTTCGCAGATCACCTTTTTATGACCAAATGAATCTATCGAAGTTGAAAAATAGGGCGCACCCTAAAGTACTATTGTACACATGTGTAGTGAAATGAGTTTGCGTGTGCGATAAAATCAAAATTGACAGTAATATTCACTTCAGGTAGGATTTCATGGACGCGAACAATAATGGTGTAAAATATGAACAACAAAGGTGGCAAATATGTTCATAAACAGTAGGCTGGGTCGCGTAAAAAAGTCTATATAAAATGTTTGAAGTAAGAAGCATGTTATATTGACTACTAAACTCATTTTTTTTTTTTCAATTTTGTATGCGGAGAATGTTTTCACGATCCTTAGAGATGTATAGCTATGGAAATTATCTTGTGCAGGGAATGCGATTTTGGCTGTTTTTTTTTTACTGCGGGACTAGGGCGGAAACTTTGATGATGTTAAAATCTCCAAGAAGTAAACTTTCAAACCTGCTTCAATCATTTTCTGCTGCATGGGGACCGACCTGGCCTATTGTTAATATGAATGTGCTGTTTTTGGAAGATTCCATAGCCACCATGGATGTCAGAAGCGTTTATACAGCAAGTAATAGATACCCACTTAAGGTCTCATTATGCATACTTCGCATAAATTTCAAACTGTAATTTTGTATGTATTTTATATGTACTCCATTACCCAGAAATCAGCAGAACTCGTCACAACTTAGCGGTCTGCTGAGTTTAGATTTTGCTTCACATTTTCTTAAGTGATATTTAAATTGTAGTGGTACAAATGGTTGTGCGAAGTTATGTGAAGTATGCATAATCAGACCTTTACTCGTAATACAAGCAATTCGATTCAAAAGTGATAAAACTAGTCATATTGTCATAATGTGATCAACAATTTTATAACCGCTTTATATTTCATGGCATTGTGTTAATAATAAATACTGTTATGATACGAGCACCTGTGAACTATCTAATCATCAGACGCTTCTGATTAAAAATCTCACTTTCTGAAGTTTAACCCAAACGAATAGGATGTCTTAAGTATAGGCAAGTTTCATTTGACAAGAGCAGGGCTTGAAGATAAAATTATTTAAATATAAAAATACGCAAAATCTGTTTTAAGTATTTTTTTTGCTTCAATTAGTTTAAGATCTTTTCGAACACCGAATGGGCCTTCTTCTTCAACAACTTGATGTTGTTCTAAGAGTTGTGGAAAATCGATTTTTTATAAATAAAAGATTATGTATGTATATCGGGAAACTTTTTAACTATCGAAGATATATAGATACATATAAGTATGTGCATTAGACCGTACCACCCAACAGGCAAACAAAATGGTTTATCGTGCACCTTCCAGTATAAAGTATTTTTGCCAGGAAATTTCGAAAACATTTTTTATCGAACCTAGGTGTCGCCTTTTTATATTCTTGTGTGACACCTATTTGCATTTGGCAATAATTTTTTTTTTAAATAGTTGTACTACACTTTGGATAAAGTCAGCCAAATATATTTCTCTCAATACATTATTTAGTAACTCTAATCAAATAGTGTGTTGAAAAAAAAAACATATTTAGTTGACGTAACTAAACTCTTTTCTCATTGTGGAATAATCGAAATTATCGTTATCAAAAGTTTAGTGGTTTTTAGTGAGCTTTGATTTACTGGCGTTAGGGTAGTACGTTAGGATGATAGCAACCGAGATATGGTGTGTAAGTTAAAGAAAAATTCTTCCTTCGAGACAAAAACATCGATATTTCAATTTTTGGCTGGCGGTGTTGTGCATTTTCTTCCGTATAAAGTATGCTCGACAATTTTATGTGGAAGAAAATGCACAACACCGTCAGCCAAAAAAAAAAAAAAAACCAACCCAATCAAATTCAACAACAATTGCATGCATTTTGCCAAACAACATCTCTGCATAACACCGACCTTAAGCAGCATTTACATGAGGCGATTTTGTAAGCGATTCAACATCGCCGGAAAAGTTAATAGCAAAAATTTATTCAGTATAACTCGCAAGTTCAGCCTTTCATTTATGCTCTCTTAATTTCCCCTACTTTCCTTGTTTTTTGCAAGTTTTGGCGTACGAAAACGCTAACCAGTAAAAGCATGCAGCTCTTCAGACATGTATAAAATTTCTCAAGTTTTTTTTTGTCTGCTGGTATTTGAAACAACAGAAAGGATAACAGAAAGGAGTGCGATATTTTAAAATTTTTTTTTTTAATTTTTCTGACAGCTGGATCCAGCAGTTACTTATAAATAGTTCTGAACATGAGCTCTGGATTGTGTATTAAATATTCAAGATTATGTGACCTTATTTACATACATACAACTAGGAATGTAAACAGGTAAAATAAGAAATTTTATAGTTTCTTGCGTACGCTAAAGCAGTAATTGGACGCTATACGCAGCTTAACAACATGCATTATTCATTTTACTTACCTTTGTGGAGGAATCCATGCTTTGTATTTGTTGGTCCGCATTTTACTTCATTCAATAATCAAGGTTATTTTCTTTCTTTCAGAATAAATTGTGCG